AATATTAATTTGTACAATAATTTTTATTTATCCCGAATTATATATAGGTAATGCTAGTTGACGATTTATTGTTAATCACCGTATCATACACATTGTCTGTGATTTAATTGCCGAACGAGTGACGTGGTTGATGTAATGTACGAGATACTTTGAGCCACGTAATACGGCGACCGATAAAATGAATGTAGAGAGAAAAAGAGGGGGGAAGAGTGAGAATGAGAGAGAATGAGGATGAGAATAAGAGAGAACTTGTAATTGTGTGCCTGTCCATACCAACGTGCAAACACATACGTGTGCATCACGTATGTATACAAACACACAATAAATTTTGACAGCCATTAAATTCACTGAAATATTTATCGATAGCTTTCTTATTAATATTATCTTTTTTCCATTCGTCATTCTCACGTATGATCTTAAAGATCATATGTATAATAGGTTTTTATTTATCAGATCATATATTCTGTTACTATTATTGTAGTGCGTCCATGATTGCTGCTGTTGTTGATATTACTGATTTTTGTATGTTTGAATGAATGTGCATAGTGATCTAAGAACTTTTGTTGTAATACCTATGGCAGATATGATTACTGTTATTATCTCTTGTTTCTGTTTTATTTCTATTGCTAATAGACTCCTTTTTCTTCTTACATATTTTCTTTTATTCTAATTTTTTTCTCGTCGATAAGTCTTTATTACATCTTACAGTTGTGGGTACTTTTGCTCTTGTTTCTAATTTTGTTGCTGTATAGTAATATTGCATGAAGGTTTTATTCATTTGATTTGTCCACGTCATACATTGCCTTGATGATTATTCAACCTCAGTGATTGACAGTTATTCTATCAGAGCACTTGTTGCTAAATTAAAGTATCTTGTATATTTCGTTGTATTTTACTACATTCTATTTGGATATCCCAATAGATACTCTGCTGTTTACTAATCTACTAGTATGAGCAATAATACCAATTTACTCAAATTAGTCACTTCCTATGGTAACTCCAGAAATCCTCAGCGACACTTTCTCAAGACATTTTCTTTATTCTTAAATATATTTTCCTCTTCATCGCCTTTTGTGACATGCTGGAATTACATTGAATATACTTTTCTTCTCAGTTCACAAAAGAGTATTAAGTATATTAGGTTTCATTTAGGGACTTGAGATTTCAGAGATTAAACTGAAAAGAATTTAAGTATAATGGTAATTATAAGCTGAGCCAACTTAAATAACTTGTTATGTATTTTCTATCAAATATATACATTAATTATAAAAGTTTGAACGAATTGTAATTCCTATTATCTCAGTAAGGATATTGATCTAGACTTCAATGGCTGTATCAGAAAGTTTATTGTGAATATCCTCTATGAAGTCAAATACTCTTCTTCTTTTCTGCTTCTGAAATATTTTCTATATAGATTACTTTATACATGCAAAATCTTTTAGATCAATTTATTCCCAACTTTTCCATTTTAAAACTTCAATAAGATAGAGACATGATAGAATCGAATGACTGATATCTACGTCAAATATGTCACTTATGAATCATTCTATTCAATAAGGAATTCTCGTTGTGCCGTCTATCTTATTATTTTCTATGCTTTACTCTTAGAGTGACCAAGTCTAGCATAAACTAGTTTTAAAGCATTTAATAATTTATGTGGCATACTACACACAATTGTAATATTGTTTTTTATATTGTGTGTTGTATTGCGATTTTATTTTATTAATGAATATATATGGTCAATGTGGTGTTACATCAATGACCATATTATGAATGACGTGATATGAATATTGTTTAATTTTCTATATCGCTTTTATTTCTACAGCTACAGATAATAATTATTATTATTAGTATTATCATTAGTATTAATATTATATAATTTTCAGTGTTATTATTATAGTAGTTACCTCGCAGAAATTCTCTTCTGCCTCTACTAAATTTGGTTTACAAATGAACGAGAAGAAGCGAGAAAGACAAAAACGAGAGGAAACGAAAGAGACACAGTGAGTGAATGCATGCGTACATGAGAAAGAGCAAATGAAAGAGTGAAAAAGAGAGTGCAATGCTGAAGAAAAAAAATTTGATTCATAATTAATTGCATTCGATGCAGCTTCCAGTTCTCCTAAGCGGTTTAATTGCAACTTGTTTCACGATCTACAGGTATTATTATACTGATACTGCCATTTTTGCGACGAAGCGTCTGTTTAAATGTGGAACTATCTGCGAACTTTTCCATTTTTTTTTTACATTTTCAATCTCTTTGCACTTTGTATCGTTATTTTCTCTTCGTTTGATTTCTTTTATCATTGTCTCGAGAAAGAGTCGCATGTCGTTCACAAATAACTTGAATTACGCTTCGCTTTTTTTGTACGTTCTTCTTTAATCTGAAAAGCAGTAGATTATCCGTTGAATTCACTTTTCTGAATTCGAATATTCACCATGTGTTAAAACGATAATACGAGCGTGTTTCGATTCGCTCTAAATGCGTATATTTATTCGCATATGTAGATTCTTTTTTTATACTTGATATGTATTTTTAGTTAAAATATCTTCCCTAAAGACACGACAAAGGGTCAAAATTGTGGTGTGATGACTAGATTGCGGATTTTTACGCATTTATAGGTAACTTAAATATATATATATATATATATATATATATATATATATATATA